ATGACAGTCGGCAAAATAAACTTCAACACCCCCCCCCTCTCGAATCGGTTAGCGACGGGCCTGCATGCAGCCCTTCATTTAAGAAGTGATTGTGCACCCCTACGTAAATGAATCACAATAATCAATAAAAATATTTTTTTCTCTTACAAAATAACTTTTTTTTATTCAAAACAATTTTAATTATTATACATAAATTCAAATAAAATGAATGATTATAAGTACCCGAATGTCTCTTCACAGTGCTGCTATTTACATTATAATAAAAAAAAATTGAGTTAAGTTTAAGATAGGGCGTATTTATAAACTTTGCTGGGGCTGTATTTAAGTCTATGTATGCCATTGATGACATCGCATGAGAAAATCGAGCGAAAACCTGATTAGCAATTTTTTTGCGGTATGAAATATCCACCAATCGGGTCGAGATCATGCATACAATGTGAAATGCAATCGCACTGTGATACTGGCATCAATCGAATGAAATGCAGTGAAAATAGGCCCGCAAAGATACCTTTTTCTTTGTTGAAGTTTTTTGTGACAAACTCAACTACTATTGAATACAAATATCTGGATATCTATGATGCAACTAAAAAGAGGGGGACGGGCAAAAAACATGGATCCCGTTTTCTCTCCAGATGGCGTATTCGAGCGTTGCGATCGCCTATACAGTCAACCATTCATCGTAACACATGTGCTATCTGTCTAGCCTCAATCGAAGCCTTATTAAAGAACATAAAAAGCTATAAGCTTAAAATAAGATCTCGTCCCACTATACTACACCCGTCCACGAGTCAATCATTCAATCTAAACAATCCAAGCATAGATAGGAAATCCGCTATCCGAATAAGGAAAAATGTGCTCTAAATTTGTATAGCATTTTAAATAGAAATTCTTGCTTTAGTGTCTGTGAAATATATTCTTTGATTTTAGTTTTTTTTGCATTAAGATACTTACACAAGTGTTGTAGAAAAGACGTTGGCAATGTATGAAGAAAAATAATTCAAAGCATGAAATGGCAGAAAGTGTTTTAAAATAATGTAAAAGCTTAATTTCTGTAAACTGTTTACCTATTACAGATCTTGTTTGTATGGCGTAATTATCTTCATTCATTAGGGATATAAATCTAGACAGACATTATCATTACATATGTTATTTGGAATTTCCTTGTACTCATGACTATACATTTAAAACTTTAGTTTGAAAGTTATTTTGGCAGTTTGTGTTAAAGTGTCTTAATTTGCAGACAGTCTCTGGAAATCTCTTCATAATGTTTTTGTGAAAAGCTGTTACTCATGAAATATGCTATTTGAGCAATGTTTGTCATAGAAAATAATGGTTTCACTAAACAATTTCATTTTTAGACAAATGTAAAAATTTATTTATTTTGTTTGCCTGCTAAGCACCTAACAGTAGTGTAACTAAATTTTTAAGAGGCATATTAGATTAATTTTTTGTTCATACCAATTTAAATTTTTCGTATCTCTGTGTATGTGATAAAATATTTGTTCAAATATCAATATTTCAACCTATAATATGTAATTTTATTTTTGTCTTAAATCTGTATCATTAAACATTCTTTATATTATTAGTTTCTTAATGTTGGTTGTTTTTGTGTTAATCTTAATCATATGATAGCCAAAGCATATAGTTAGAACCTTAAAAGTTTGTTTTGAATGCTACACTAAATAATCTAAGCAACTTTGATCATTTACCAAGAATAAAATATAGATTATTGTACAGTATTTCAAATGATACTCCAGTTATGATTTTTATGTATTAATAATAATTTAAATATTTCTGTTACCTTTTCTTTATTCTCTGCAAAACAGAATTAGTTTCAAAATCAATTTCTAGCCTTAGTTTATTAACTTTTTATTCAGAAAATCATATTTCTTACAAATTATTTATTAGTTTGTTTTTAAAATTTAATTTAATTGTTTTGATAAATTTATCATTTGAAGCATAAGTAATTATCACATTTATGTGACATTATTTTCAACTTTAATTAGTTATGACAGTTTTATTTAAATGCACACATTTTTACGCAAGGTGATATGAAATGAACTAATATTTCTTAGTATTAGATGACCATTCATGTTGGTGATAATGAGAATACTTATTCTTGTGTAACATGTAATAAGAGTTTTTCTTAGAAAAATTTACTAGTTGCAACAATTTTATTTAAATGCACACATTTTTATACAAGGTGATATGAAATGAACTAATATTTCGAACTATTAGGACTCATTCATGTTGGTGAGAATACTTATTCTTGTGTAATAAGAGTTTTTCTTAGAAAAGTAATACTGGTTATTAACCTGATTCTTGTAATAAGAGTCTTTCACTGAGAAGTAATGTGACGGAATACAGTCATGTTCATACTGGTGTGAAGCCACATTCTTGCAGCATATGCAAAAAGAGTTTTTCCCATAGAAGTGACATGACTAAACACTATCCTGTTCAAATGGCTGAGAAATCATTTATCTGTAATGTATGTAATAAGAGTTTTTCAAACAGAAGTAATCTGACTAATCACAGTTATGTTCATACTGGGGAGAAACCGTTTTCTTGTAGTATATGCAATAAGAGTTTTTCACAACGAATTAATCTAACTACACACAATCTTGTTCACACTGGAGGGAAGCCTTTTTCCTGTAGTATATGTAATAAGAGTTTTTCACAAAGAAGAACTTTGACTAAACACAGTTATATTCATACTGGTGAGAAACCTTATTCTTGTTGTATATGTATTAAGAGTTTTTCTTTTGAGAGTGGTCTGACTAAACACAGTCGTGTTCACACTGATGAGAATCCTTATTCTTGTAGTATATGTAATAAGAGTTTTTTAAACCGAAGTAATCTGACTAATCACAGTTATGTTCATACTGGTGAGAAGCCTTATTCTTGTAGTATATGTAATAAGAGTTTTTCACAAAGAATTAATCTAACTACCCACAATCTTGTTCACACTGGTGAGAAACCTTTTTCCTGTAGTCTATGTAATAAGAGTTTTTCTAACAGAAGTAGTCTGACTAATCACAGTTATGTTCATACTGGTGAGAAGCCTTATTCTTGTAATATATGTAATAAGAGTTTTTCACAAAGAACTCATCTGACTAAACACAGTAGTGTTCACACTGGTGAGGACCCTTTTTCTTGTAGTATATGTAACAAGAGTTTTTCACGAATAAGTAATCTAACTGAACACAGTCGTGTTCACACTGGTGAGAAACCTTATTCTTGTAGTGTATGTAATAAGAGTTTTTCACGAAAAAGTAATCTGACTAAACACAGTCGTGCTCACACTGGTGAGAAACCTTATTCTTGTAGTGTATGTAATAAGAGTTTTTCACGAAAAAGTTATCTGACTACACATAGTCGTGTTCACACTGGTTAGAAACATTTTCCCTGCAGTATATGTAATAAGAATTTTCCACATAGAAGTTGTCTGACTGAGCATTTTCGTGTTCGTACCAGTAAGAAACCTGATTCTTGTTGTTAATTCTTAGAGTTTATCTTCATAAAGGGTTTATATTTTATTTAGAGGATCTCATTGTTAATATTTATGTAAATAAATAAAAAATTTAAAGTTTTTCTCTCTGATTCTTTTTTNAGAATTGAATCTGTAGTGGTTGACAAGTGAATAAGGCAAACCAATAATACTCATAAATAAAACAAATTTTTAGTCATATATTTGCTACCACTTTCTTATTTTAACTGGATTTTGTATTAAGTGACTCGTTCGGAAAGTGGAAATCCGTCCAGAGTGGTCTGATCGGACTACCTGTAAGAAACCGTGTGGAGGCTTTCAGTTATAGGAGGCGTTGCTTGAACCCACTGTTTTTTAACCCGTTTTGTCCTAAATTTATAAATTAAAATGATACAAAAAGTGGTATAATATATTATTGAAATTAATTGTTTTTTCTACTGTTAGGGCATTCAAAAAGTCTTTGATAGATATTAATGTACTTGCTCCTTATAATTCTAGATCTAATCAGAAATAACTAAATCATTGTGGTATCTGTGAATCTTTTAATTCACCCAGATAAATGAAAATCCTGAAAAACGTTTCCTACCACAATGAATGTCTTTGAAAAAAGGAACTATCCTAAATATATGACGCTGGGCGTTAACCGGTTAATCGGTATTCGAACCCACTATCATTTGATGAGAAATGCACCCTACGATTAATTGAACTATACTCTAGTCTACTTTAATTTGAACTAGTTTTCCTGAATATATTTGAACACGACAATATTTGGACCCATCTTTTTATCGGTATTCGCTGGTGAGGACCTTTTTTCTTGTAGTATATGTAACAAGAGTTTTTCACGAATAAGTAATCTAACTGAACACAGTCGTGTTCACACTGGTGAGAAACCTTATTCTTGTAGTGTATGTAATAAGAGTTTTTCACGAAAAAGTAATCTGACTAAACACAGTCGTTCTCACACTGGTGAGAAACCTTATTCTTGTAGTGTATGTAATAAGAGTTTTTCACTAATAAGTAATCTAACTGAACACAGTCGTGCTCACACTGGTGAGAAACCTTATTCTTGTAGTGTATGTAATAAGAGTTTTAGTGTATGTCTAGAGCGCAGCCCACTAGTATTAATATAATACCTGATATAATAAATATTCTATATTTATATAATATATCGTCTCATTTATCCAATCGTCGAATTTATATTATATGTCTTCTAATTTAACAAATTTATACACGAACGTAAACAAGTGCAAACCGGTTTCATTATCGTAAAAAGACAAAAGCTGTCTGTTGTCACCTGATAATTGAGATTTTACATAGAATTTTAAAGTGCGTCTAATAATTTGGTTTCTTTTTTCTCGAAAGTTGGATAATTTATTTATTTATTGTAAAGTTAATTTTTTTTAAAAAAATGTATTGGCATAGGTTTTGTGCATTATTAACATCCTTATACACACAAACAAATCGAAAATCGTTTTACACAATTTATCGATATAATAAATATAATTTACCTTAACCTTAAACATTGCTATTCTTAATAGCAGTGCTTAAGGGTTTCATTAAACTAATAACTCGTTTTTTTTTCTTGCCCAAATGAGATATCATGTAAGCAGTTTTGAATCTATATAACTTTTTAAATTTATACAGAAACTATTTTTCCCGTTAACGAGTTTTCAAGAATAAAAAAGTTCTAATAAATACTGTAATTTTTTTCACACTACGTAAATAAGTTTCGCTCACTTGAAAACGGCATTAATGTCATGCAGTTACTAAATTTATTGATTTACTGTAATTAAGAGTAAATTATCCAGTGATATTCTGGGTCTTAATATATAAATTTTATATGCTTTAAGTCATTTTAGTATTTTTTCCCTTAATATTTTTGCTGAATTTTTCTTCTGAATTATTTACTAAAAAATATCTTTGATTTTATGTATAATTAATTTCGATGATTAATTATACTTAAGATTAAATTACTCTATCTTATTTTGAATTTTTTTACGTGTGATGTACGTTTTTGATTTTTTTGTGGGGTTTTGGTATGGATGGGTTTTCTAATGTAAACAATAACAAGTGTCATTAAACCGGAAGAAATTTAGAAAATTTCCGGTGTATCCCTCCGCTTATGTTATGACTACGAGGCGATGTGTGAACAAGCCTAATATTCTATGCAGTTTTGTTATTGTAATTTGGGTTCAAATCTAAACATAATTGTACCATTCATAAGAGCTTTCAGAAATGTATTGATTCTCAGAGGTCGTAAGGCCAAAAAAAATTTTGGAAAGTTAATATCTCATTGTGAATAATTCTTAAGGTTTACCATGGTTTGTATTTTATCCCTTATTTAGCTACATTTGAATAAAATGTCGCCAAAAATGTATTTAAAAATATCTTTTCAAGTTAGCCTAATTAGAAAATATTCTAATGATTATAATATTAATATGCTAATGCTGAAGTTTAAAGGCTGAAAGAAAGAACTCGGTGCGTGTGAAATACTGCAAAATATATGATGCAATTATATGATGGCGCGTTTTTTCAATCTGCGGCGAATAATATATCGGAAGCAGTAACCCGGAAGTCTTGAAAGAGCAATTTTACCACTAGCGCCACCACCCTTAGCTTTATACGATCACCCATCCATTTGAGTTTAGAGTCTATTATGCAAAATTTCGTTTTGAAGCAGTTAATAGAGAAAACAAATTTACATTTAATGTGTTTTCAATCTCATTAAATTTATGTATATAAATGGAATAAAATAAAGAAATTATTGGTAAATTTTACCAGGAAATAAATAATAATAACTGCTTATTTTATGTAAAATTTATTTTCACTTAAACCTAATTATAAAATTAAATTAAACAGAAAAACTATTGAATGTAGTTATAGAATCGTATATTTTTTTTTAAAAAAAGTAAGCGTATAAAAGTAGTTTTATCATTAAAAATGTGCTCATTTTAATTTTAATTATGCTTATTAAATTACGCAGGTTACATAATAATTTAAGGCTAAATTAGTCCTAATATTCTGAACAGTATATGCTTAATGGAACTGCATTTTAATGGGGTCTAGAGGGTTTCACCTAGCAAAGTAAATTTTGTATTATTTTATATTCTCAAATTTTATATTGAAATTCTCCATTAAATTGTGTTCCCGCAGTGGTCTCATCGTAAAGACACGGTTCCCAGTATAACACCGAAGTCAAGCATCACTGGCTGCGGTCAGTAAGCGGGTGGGTGACCACTTTGATAAGCCTGTGTAGGGACCGAGGGTATGCGGCATAGGTCCTCGTTAAACTGTTCTACCGTAAAGTGCTCAACTTCTCGCACAGGTCGTCGGGCTACCAAAGCAGGGGAGCCGTCCCCTCAGCAGAGGATCAAAATTGCTATGGCATGTCTTCGGATCATTCTCAGGGATATTTCCCAGACAGTCGCCAATAGCCCATTGTGCAACTCTAGTACGACGCAAATAAAGTACCTACGTACCTATATAATTGTGAGAATGATTATTGTATTTGAAGTTAATATCGAATCTTGCCTTCATGAACTTTATAAAATTTGTAGTTAATCCTTAGCAAAATTTTAAAGCAATCTAATCTTCCTTCATGGGCGACAACATGTGGGTAAAGAAGGTTGAGTTTTTCGGTGCTCCGTAAATTTGGCAATAATTGTTGTACATTTACACTATTTACTTAAATTCTTGCGTGAATGTTTTAAAGGTATAATAATTTTAACGATCATTATTGTAAGTTTATAAGTGTGCAAATTCTGGAAAATTACAATACATGCCTCAGAAAAATTTGTCCCAGGTACACCTATGGAGACCTATAACTATAGAAACTTATATGGCAAGGTATAACTAAGCCTATGGTAACTATAAAAACTTGTATCGCATTTATATGACACCATACGCTTATGGTTACCTATGCCACCATTTACGATTTACCATACGCCTATGGTTACAATAGAAATTTGTATAGCCTTCCTATGGAAATATACCATTAGCCTATGGTAGCCATAGAAATTTGTATGCGATAGCATACCATATTATTATGGCAAAAGTTTCCTAGGTGAAGAAATACCAAAGGCTATTCCAATGTGATTTTACCTATGGTAAAATGTTGCCTTACACTTTTATCGTATACATCTTGCAAACATTTACTTCGAAGGAGCATAATTTGAAAAATGAGTTTTTATTTCTTCTAACTATAATCGATTTTAAAACTTCCCGAAATTGATCAGTATCATTCTAGTTTCGACAGAATTTTTCTAAATTTTTGAGCTTAGTCTAATTTATAAGAAACTTGATTTTGGATTAAAACTACTTCAAAAGCATCTAGAAATAAATTAGCTCTCGCGGCTATATTATGTTGTGTGAATTTCACTAATATCAAGAATTATGGTTCATTTCCTTCTTCGATATAGAGCTGAACCAACGCCTCCAACTGAAAGCCTCCACATGGTTTTTTATAGGTAGTCCGATCAGACCACTCTATGAATGATATCCACTTACCGAACGAGTCATTTAATACAGAATACAGTTAAAATAAGAAAGTGGTAGCAAATATATGACAAAAAATTTATTTTATTTATGAATATTATTAGTTTGCCTTCTTCACTTGTCAACCACTACAGATTCAATTCTTAAATATATAAGATCTAATATATCTCTCTCAATTACTTTTATTTGCGTGTTTTTTTTTTGGAGAGAAAAAGTTGGTTTTTGCTACTCGAGAGTTGGAGTTTTCAATTGGAGATTGATGCTTTCCGAAGCTTTTTCATGAAGTCAGTTGGTTAATAACTAGGTTTTAGCGAGAGTAATGTGACTAAAGAAAAGCCACGTTTAAGTTTCTATTNAAAAGACCGTGTGGAGGATTCTTGATGTAGGAGGTGATGGCTGAATCTTTGATGTTGGAATTAATTTTAGATTAATGTACAGTAGTGAAACTACAAATCTGTAAGTCCATTCCGCTTTTTTTTCCAATTACTCAAAATACCATTATTTTGTTTGTTTTCTAATTAATTTTTGTCGTAAACATCTAAATCATCCGTGCATATTGTCCTTTGCTTTCTTACTTAATTATTGTCATTTCTCATACGTTTAATTACTTAATCTCTCCCCTTAACAGATTTTATTATTATCATTCTTGTGAAAAAGCTTCGTAAAGAAAAGATTTTACTCTAATTTAATGACCCTTTGCTTATGTATAAATTTGCCAATATGTATAATAAAATTCCATAGGGCTGCGAAAAAATGTATTATGGAAAATAGTCAAGGGAAATATTTCATAGGCTATAGAGCACCATAGTTTTGTGGCAAAAATTTGTATATCCTATGGAATATCCAATGATATTTTTTATAGCAAACCTACGACCTTAAGGAAGTTTCCAAGAAGGCGGTTTGTGTTTTCTGTGTACTGGTGAGACGTGAGTTCCTCTTGTCTGATTAAATAGACAAACTGGACTTAGCTTATAAAGAACTTCATCTTTACTAATTGATCAAGAATATTTATTGTGGTCGATAATTTGACAAGCAATTTCAATCTTCTTGTCAGATTGTTTTGACGAACTTCCAATATAAAAGATTATAAAATACATTCTTTTTGTGTAATTACAAAAGCTTGAATCACGAAGTGCTTTAGTGCTTTTTTTTTTTAAATTCACTGAGGCAGGTGTTTCTTTTTCCCTGGTTACTCGCAATTTCCATACCTGTTCAGCAAGAAAATTTTCTGCAAAAAACATAAAACCAAAATCAAAATTGTATAATTGTATACACTTATAAAATGTTAATACATTTTTAGCTTTTACCAATGAGAAATACGTCTTTTCCATTTTTAAGTTAGAGCAGAAAAGATGGCAACATGTTGTTTTTTCGATGCGTGGCAAAATCGCGACGCGGTTTCAGCTCCGCGTAACGGCGTAAAGTTTAAGTATTGGTCAGATTGATAGTTTTACCGTTTTATTTCAAGGTTCTAATTGAATTAGTGCAGTCCACTGCAATCTTTTGATTATTTGTTTAATTTTAATTCAATAAGGTGTTTAGAATTGCATTCTTTATGAAGACATGAAGTGATTAAAGAAAAAGCTCACAATAATTTTTTACAGTAAATTAGAATTCATATTAAATATATAAAGTTTCAAATATTTTCTTATTTCTCATATATTTATTTAAATCTTGATTAAAATACACATTTCTTCGCATTACCTACACTGTAAATGTTTTTAACTGAAAGTAGAAGACGAAGAAAATGAGTATAAAAAACAAACAAAAAAACAAAACAAATATCGTTAACATGAAATTTTGCACAATAAGGAGCGATTGTTTTAAAATATCATGCACGTTTTTGGTTTTCTTATTTTAATTTAAAATAATAATCGAAATCTAAAGCGTAATAACAATAAAGAATAATATTATGAAGGGAGAATAGTTAAGTATTGTCATAATAGTGTTGAAATTATTAAATATTTTTGAAAAAGTTATAAATAAATGATTTACATGTAAATGTTATTACAAATGTTATTAATTTAATGCTTTGTTTGCTGTTTTCATGCTGTTGCGATAACTTCCATTATGATGATGAGTCTTTTAATGATTATTGATTTTAATGATTATTAATGGGTTCCTTGGGGTATTCATCCACTTTTCCTTCGAGGTTAATATCTTCCCTACCTGTACTATGCATAATTCTTTATCGCCTTACAAGATCATCGCCAACAAAACAAATTATTTTTATTTTTTGAAATGCCGGTTGCTATTTAGGCAAAGTATGAAATAATCGTCCTGATGAGGTTATTATGTAAATGGTGTGCATGTTACTGTGAATGACCGAATCGAGACTTTCACCGGTGAATGTTGACAATCAAATTAGTCGCTTTGATGAATGTCCGACATATTTATTACATCCGATTTGATATTAGTTTATTCGTGGATATAATTTCATTTATTCGATATTTTAATGCTTACTGACGATAGATTAGAACGAACATCAGTGTTTGGAGTATCGGGCAAATATATACCGGGCAATGGCACTTGACTTTAAAAAAACATCAGTGTAGGGTATACCGGGCAAATGTATACCGGGCAGTGGCACTTGATCTTAAACATCAGTGTAGGGTATACCGGGCAAATATATACCGAGCAAAGGCACTTGACCTTAAAAAAACATCTGTGTAGGATATACCGGGCAAATGTATACCGGGCATTGGCACTTAACCAGACCTAGTATGACTAGACCTTTGGTAAATGTCCGAAATATATACTAGGTCTAGTGCCACTTTAGCTATAGCTTAATAATTTAAAAAAAATTAAACAAAGCGTTTGAATCAATTCTAAACTGATAACGAAATTATTGCTTTAAAATTTAAAAAAAAAAAATAATAGCTGAGTTAGATAAGAGTAATTGAAGTAGTTGCCTTATACAGCGCATGTGCGGAAATTTTTTTTTTAAAAATTATCCAGGTGCATGTAAAAGTGGATGAATATCCCATGTAATAAATTGAAATTTATTATAGGTTTTTTTTTGCAATACTTTTAAAGATAGTTTAGTTTTCTGTACATGGCACCACTATGGTAAAGTTTAAATTCAATCATAATAATATTTTTTTTTAGAAATTTTGAATTAGTCTTTTAAAAAGGGATTTTTGGGGTGAAATCTATGTAACTAAATTTATTAGTATTTATTGAGGATAGTAGTATAATTTCTATAGGGTATTCTTGGATTTATGACGGTTTTTCTCAGGGATCTTTTTTTTTGGTTCTGACGTCCGCCGGATGCGGGATGACTCTAGACGTGGTAAACAGGTCAGTCTAGATTCTTTCGCCTTGTTGAAGGGAGGATAAAAGAGAAGCGATGAATGTGGCTAAGCGCAGTAGCAGTACCAGTAGTAATCAGCAGTAAGCAGTTAACCAGAGCAGTATCCTGGGGATACGGAGTTTGTCCGCTGAAGGAGTGGTTCGTGACAGTATCTCGGAGATGGTGGATCGTACCCTTAGGGAAAGCTAAACTGAAGTCACTAGCGGGAAGGACTACCGAGATTAGCCAAAAGCCGATATCCTCGAGACGATAGGCCAAGTCCGAGGGAATCTATGCTGGACGTCCGGTGTCCCCCTTCTACATGCCTAAGTCGCTTGAAATTATAATAGCTGGAGAAATTTCGAGATCCTAGCGGAGGAGTTTGTCCATGAGTTCATCTACCATTCCGGTTGGCGGTTCCAGAGAGCCTACAGTAAATTCTTTTGGGTACTTATAAAACTTTAAATTTTATTTCGTTAACATTTTAGAGGAATCATTTACCGTAAATTCTGAACTGTTATGTTGTGTTTTTTTGTGTAGGAGAACAATCAGTATTTAAGTGTGATTTGTAGATATCATAAACCAAGTCTGTGTTTTTAGTAATGTTAAATGCAGTTCTTATTTTATAAATGTCTTTTTTGAACTGTAGAAATTGAAGGTTATGCTTGAGAGTTATAAGGTTGCATTTTTATTTTAATTAATGTATAAATGTTTATTCCCATGTTAGCATTTGGAAATGTGTGAAAATATGTTTTTTGAAGATTTAGAGGTGCAATAAAAACGAGTTTTAAATGTTAAAAGTTTTTTGTAATTCATTAGATATTTGTCTACTAAATAACCTGGGTAACCGTTACTAAATTTAAATTTTGAGATCCCAGCCAAGGGAGTAGCGGTACACCCAAGACACTTTATTAATGATAATGACGCTTAAAGACTTAATTTTACTGCTCGGGATGAATCAGGAAATTTCCTATTAATTTCCAATACAGATGATGTCCAAAATTATTAGAATCTTTTTTTAATAAGCAAAAACAGGTGATTTTTTTTCTGTTTAGTGAGTGTACAAAACGGTAAAACGATCTTTACCATTTTATGGTGTATAACCATTTCCTTAAAAAGGTTACTATTTGTTCTATATATTTAAAAAAAGAAAGTTAAACTTTAATTTTTGTTATGCTGTAAGCGTCTCTTAACAATAAAAATTCTTGTCTACTAAAAATAAAAACAATGAAATCGACAGAGTCCTAAACTTAGAAAATGAAAGTGATTCTTACATATTTATTATAGATTATTGTAAAAAAAAATTGCGTTCAGGCTGACAAAGATAAAAAATATGTTTCCATCGATGAGATAAGTTTTTTCGGCTTTCAAAGAGAAATAAAAAAACGTATTTTGTATATTCCGTTAGTACAATAATGAAGCCATTTTTTTACCATACTGAAAGGTAGTAGTATAACTCTTTTCGGAATTTATATTTATTTTAATTTCCAGAAATTTATACTTAAAAATAATACTATTTAGATCTAAATATTTCTAAAAGTTAAATTTTCATATTTGTTATGCTGTAAGTGTCACTAAATAATGAATATTCTTGTTCACAAAAGTAAAAACAGGAAGGTAAAAAAGTAAAAACAATGAAATAAAAAAAATCCGAAAATGAAAGTGATTCTAACATATATAATTCAATAGTGGTAAAAAAGTGCGCTGTAGTTGACAAAGATATTAATAGTAATTTTCCATAGATGAAATAGTTTTTTTAAGCCTTCAAAGAGGAAAAAAGAAATGTGTTTTGTATATTTCATTTGTATAGTAATGAATACTTTTTTACATTATACGATACTGTAAGATTGTTGTGTAATTTTTTCCAGAAATCATATTTATTATTATGTTAGTGATTGTTTAACACCAAACCCTCATGTTTTAATAAATCCATAACTGTCAAATTAATTGGTCAAAACACACATTTATTCAAATACTTAACAAAGACATCTTAAATTTTATGTGCGTGTATGCGTTAATTGGATATTGCGGCTTTCGACACCTTACGGCATTTTGCAATATGGTATATATATATATATATATATATACCACATATTAAATAAATACAAAAAAAAACACGAAGAAAATTAAGAAAAACAATAAG